CCCCAAAACCCCAAAACCCCAAAACCCCAAAACCCCTATTGATAGAATTTCGGATATTTGAGCTGTAACTTATTTTAATTGAGAAAATATTATTTATAATTATTAAAAATCTTAACAGTGAAAATGAGTGAATTTGAATTGACAGAAGATTAAGTCAGATATTGTCACCCTTATTTTATGAATGAAAATCTAGTAGAAGAGTAATAGGAAATTCTTTAAAGATTTCCTAATATAATCGAGTTGTTTGAATAACTGGGACTTCCTATTCCTAAAAAGTAAGTTAGACATCCAAATATAATTATAACTTAATTAGCTACCGTTAAGGTGTTTAACTTGGAGAAGTTGGAAATGATAGAGTCATAATTAGACCAAGTGGATTCAGCGGATTAGATAGGGACCCAGAGCCGGATTAATCAAATGATAGGCGTTCTTGTAATGTCTTTGGCAAATCCGGGGGTTCAAAAAGATGAGACGGATTTATGCTAATTTATTTTTAAGTCTTCAGTATTTCAGATAAAACTTTAATCTAAATTCTATATTAAATCTCTTTCTATAGGTATCATATTGTCTAACATATTTTACCAAGCTTGTAATATATTGAAATTCTAAATTCATCATTTAAAATCCACTAATTACAAAATAAAATCGTTATCAAGATTTCTAACTTTCTAAATTCAAATTTAAATGGAAGACAATCTAGAAAAAATCACTTAATTTTTCGTAATGTCTAGAATATTTTAAACTTTCAGGATTTATGCAGATCAAAGTAAATAGATTTACCCAACGATGTCAGAGAGTAACTTAAAGAGGAAAGATCTTAACTAATTATCAAAAGCTCATCACTTCTGCAGATTAAAGAAAATCAGGTAATCCTTATAATGCTTACATTTATTTAGATTTAAGATTTCATACTCTGCATTTCGATTTTGATATAATAGAACTGCTCTTTTATTTAAGACTTTTAAATATAAGGGCTACATCTAGCTAACTCAACTATAAACACTTTATCAGTTGCTCTGAAAGTAATTTATCAGAGATTTACGTTTTATATAGAAAAATCAAACATTAAAGTCATTCACTTTGAATGACGTTTAATTAACAGATGAAGGAGTTCTCTCTTTATCAATTGGTTTACAGTCAAACACTTACATATCTGAAATAAATCTACCCAATAATCAAATAACATCTTATGGAATAGAAAATTTGCTTGATTGTCTTGAAACTAATACAAATATAGTTGATATTGGTAAGATTATACCAATAAAATTTATACTGATAGACTTAACTGGAAATTAGATTTAAGAACTCCCATAGGCTTTAGAAAATTTCCTGAGAAGTCCTAGTTGTCAACTGAAATCTCTCAAAATGAGCTATAATCAATTTAATTAGCTGAATTTAGCAAAATTGTTTGTCTGCTTGAAGGCAAATAAGTCTATTCAATCATTCGCAACTTGTGTAATTAAATTATATATATTTTTTTTATTTAATAGGGACTCATTATCAGAGATAAAGCATTGGATAAGTTTTGCGAATTAATTATAAAAAATAAGATTTTAAAGTCAGTACAAATAGATCTTGAAAGCTCTTTGTTCCTCAATTCAGAGACTAATTCTAAACTTACCTAAGCTTTCATGAGAAATCAGACTCTATTAATTCTTGAAAATGATGATGAAACTAAACTTTGCAATGGGTTTATAAACCTATAGCTTATTGTCGAATCTAATTGTTTCATTATTGAAAATATAGAGCATCTAAAAGATTACTTAGAAGATGGCCAAAACTAACACCATCAAATCTAGTTACCAAAGGAGCTAGAATCATATATTAAGTAAAAATTAGAATTGAGAAAATCGAACAAGCCTCCGTCAATTTTATCAAACAGTTCCTCAGCAAGTGATCTTTTAAAGATGAGGCAACCATTTTAATCTATCTCTTAATCACATATTGCTTCATAGAAAAACTTAAAAACTAGCAATTACAATTTAGATGAGCCCAAATCCTTTAATTCTCCCTTGTAAAAATAAGAATAACCAATCAAAATGCTCTACTATCCTTCAATGAGTGACATATCTGGGAATCAGGAGAATGAGATACCAATGGATATTAGAGAACTTCAATAACTAAGATACCACGATCAACCCTCTCAAAAAACTTCACTTGATTATCACACCAGTAAAAATCCAAGTTTAAATCTTTCTGATTCTAAGGAATACATAAATTCTGAGGAAGAGGAAGAGACTAAATATTAGAATGTTGGATAATAGCAATATGATAACAAAACTTAGACTAGCAGCATTTTACTCAATAACACTGAAAACTAAAAGCAATTCTTCGAAGCTTTGGGCCAAGATAGGGCTAATGCAGGTCACTTTGAGCACATAAGTGAGGCACCTGGACATTAAAGATAGATTAGTGGTTACTCCTAGAATTAAAGCTTCTTAAACACCTAAAATCTTCAAGATTCTCTGATTAAGAGGTTAGAAGATTTGATACATGAAAGATTATTAGACTCTGAAAGCAGATTATAGTAATCTATTATACAAAATAATGAGAAATTGAATTAGTATTACAAGGAATAAAGTAAATTAGTAGATCTATAAAAATAGAGTGAACTCAGACTAAATCAGTATTCAGATAAATTTGAGGAGATACAGATGTCACTTCATTACATTTAAAACTAGTAAGAAGACTAGTAAAAGATGGTGGGTTAGTTTTAAAACTAATTGAATGAACTCAAAACCAGACCTGCATCTGTTGATGGCAGAAAATCGATAAGCAACATTAATATGAATAACGTTAAAAAGAAGGATGAAATAGAGCTAAGAACTAAATGTGAATAGCTGGTAGCCGAAACTCGATCCCAGCTTAAAGCTATCCAAGAATAGACAGATATTAGTGCATTTCAAAAAGAGTAATAAGCCTTGATCAATCATTTTAATCAGATCTAATAAGATGTTAACAACAGACTTTTAGAGTTTTCTAAATCTTTCCAAGAGGACCATCAGCAAAAACATCTTGAATCAAGCATAATTTAAATGATGGAGGAAAGAATAACCTCCTCTGATGAGAGAATGCAGGGTTTAGAAAAACTAACTAAAGAAATACATGTAGCAATATAGAGATATAAAAATAAGAATCTGGAAAAGAACATCTAGGACAGATTTGATCAGATAGTCTAGGAGAACAAATAATTTTAAGATCAGATTAAGTAGAAACTAATTGATATCAACAATTTGATAGATCAAAAATGCAAGAAAAGCGTTGCTAATGTGTATGAGAGTAAAATTACAAAGATCGAGACTGATATCAAACTGATTAGCGATAGTCTCGAGAGTAAATCTGATGATAGACTAAGAAGAAGTCAACACAACAGTGGATAGAATCAAAATATGCCTATTACTTAATAAAATGTTGGGTATGCCTATAAAAACGAGATCTAAAAAGTGATTTAAAGATAAGATGACTAATAAAAAATACTTGAAAAGGTCAAAACTGATACTATAGATTTTAAGCAAAAAATTCAGTAGTTATTTGAATACTTTGGCTAGATTGAAGATAAATTAGAGGAATTGAATAGACATAAAATTTAGTAGCAGTAAAATCCATTTGAAATTGAATTCAAAAGTCCAATTAAAGAAATGAACATACTTGATATGTCCTCTCCCACTTCTGATTTAGGAATCAGTCCACTTAGACAATAGATTGTTAATCAAAGAAATCAGACTTCAAGTATCCAAGTTATTTAATAATCACAAAGTTTGAATCCAGTTACAGTTGGCCACTCGAAACTATCTAATCAGGTTTAGATAAATTCTGATTACAGTCCCACAATCCAACTAAAATAAAATATCAATCATATGGGTACTTCTCAGAATTAGGTGAGTCATAATTAAGATAGATATAAGTAAACTACTTTAAGTTAAAAATAAAGCTAGGATAAATAAACCTCTGAGAGGTTAGATTCAAATTAAATCTTATCAAAATCGAACTAGCCAGGCCTCTATGAAAGGGCTTTTACTTTCAGTTAATTGAACCCACCAAATAATTAACCCACTCAAATGTCAACAGGTTCAAGTAAAGATTATGGTTTTACTACTATTGAAAAAACCAATAGAAACAGAATGAGTACCATTAGCAGTGAACCTTCAGAAGAACTTAAATAAAATTTGATTTCAAAAGGACTTTACAATATTCTTTCAGATAATAAGCACACAAGATGATTTTAGAGGAATTGAGATGACAGAGAATAATAATTAAAAAATGATTAATTCTTGATTTCATAAATATCTGATTATAAACTAATTTGCTAGTAGGGGTTTTGGGGTTTTGGGGTTTTGGGG